GAACGTTCTGAAAGGAACCTGGACTTCCTGAACACCTCCACAGAACCACAGCATGATCTCTGTGCCATGCCGCATGGAGGCAGTAATTGATGTAAACTATTCGTCAGGGCCTCATTTCTCTGTCAAAGTGATCCCAGCTGTGTTGAACACTGCAAAAATAAAAAATCTTACCAAGTTCAAAATCTTGCAACACTTTGAAATAGACAACTAACTTACAAGTAACATTTCAGCAAGATTTAGTAGCTTGTATTATGTCAATAATTCCTTAATACTGATGACAAAGTACCAGTTCCACTAGCAGATTATTTTATTCACAATATGGAAAAAACAAAATCTTTTTTTTATAAGTGAAATAACCTGCTAGTGGAACTGGTTCTTTTCATCAATATTAAGGAATTGCTGACTTAAAATAAGTTTATATATCTCAGTGAAAAGTTCCTGTGTTTTGTCTTATTTATATTTGCAGTAGAAAATAGACCACAAAAACCTCGTAAGATTCTGTGTTTTGCAGTGTGACCTGCTGTGCGAAGGTTTCCCCTGACCTCTTGTATTTCAGGCTAATAAACACAACAGTGCAGGTCACTACATCAGTCGGTTTGTGTCTCGCAGGTGCAGATGCTGAACAGCCTGGAGTACCAGCCGGTGGAATGTGCCCTTGTTGTGAACGCAGCCGGAGCGTTTTCTGGGAAACTGGCAAAGATGGTGGGAATCGGCCTCGGCCCCAAAGACTCCCTCGCTGGATTTTCAGTCCCTGTGGAACCTCGGAAGAGGTCGGTCTCCAACCTCAGCAGCTTTTTAAGGATTTCCTTTTTGTTTCTAAAGGAGTATTTAATTATATCTTAGAATGTTAAGAGGATAGGTGTTTTTGTTGTTTTCCAGGTATGTGTATGTGGTTCATTGTCCTGATGGCCCAGGACTCGACTCTCCCTTCTTAATTGACTATTCTGGAGTTTATTTCCGAAGGGAAGGTTTGGGAGGAAACTACATCTGTGGAGTGTCGCCCGAGGAGGTCAGTTTCATCTCTGAGCAGCGTCTTTCAGTCTGAATTGTAACTGAGGGGTTACCTCATTGTTTCCCTCTCAGGCGGAGGAGCCGGACACCAGTAATCTGGAAGTGGACCATCAGTTTTTTGAAGACAAGGTTTGGCCCAAATTGGCCAATCGAGTTCCAGCTTTTGAGAAACTGAAGGTACCTCAAGGCTCAATTTTAGGTTTCATACTTTTTTTAATCTAGACATAATGTTGTTGCATCAGGTGAAACAGCTATGCTGATGACATGCAGGTATTTATTGCTGTTTCCTGAATCAGGACATATTAATGCATGTTTAAATGTATTTTTGATCTTAAATTATGAAAAGCACATTATTTTTTGTCAAGTTTAAAAAATTGCCTCTGGCTTTAATTTCAGTTTCACAAACCGTGATAAAAACATTACACAAAACATATTTCTGCTGGAGTTTGATAGTTTCTCCAAGAGTTGTATGCATAAATATCAATACACACCTAAATTACATAAAATATTATTTATTTATTTTTTTTGTACTTTCTCGTCATTACAGCTACTTCAAGTTTCAACTACGAGACAACCAGAACACAAGGCCACATGCAGCCAATTAGAATCTTAGAATTTACTTTAAGTTGGTTTGCGAGCCCAGCTCTGTTACCTAGCAACCCCAGCTGAGCCCAGCTCTGTTATCTAGCATCCCAAGTTGAGTTCCAGCCCGTTTGGTCAGCTGGTTTTACCGCTGTATGTGCTCTACAATGGCTTCTGGAAAAGACAAGTGTTTAGTTGTTGACTTATCATTCAGAAACCACTTGCTGCATTCTTGTTGGTTGTGCAGGAGGCTCTACTAAGGCTTTTCTAAGATGCACAGTTGTAAAACTGTGTATCTGTTTGCAGCCATTTTCATGTGTGAGTGCAAACATTGATTCCAGGGGCGTGGCCAGCAGCAGCTTATTTGGATTTAAAGTGACAGTGGCCCTGAAACAGCTTGTTCTCTAAGAAGCTAAAAACAGTTTTCTTGGACTTTTTAACATAAAGACAGCCTCTCATGGTCCAACTTGTTGCCCTTTATTCCTGCCAGGTGACCAGCGCCTGGGCCGGTTTCTATGACTACAACACGTTCGACCAGAACGGCATCATCGGCATTCACCCTCTAATCAACAACATGTACTTTGCCACTGGCTTCAGCGGCCACGGCCTGCAGCAGTCGCCGGCGGTGGGCCGCGCCGTGGCAGAGCTCATCCTGGACGGAGAGTTCAAAACGCTGGACCTGAGCGGATTAAGCTTCCGACGCATTCTGACACAGGAGCCCATGCTGGAGCAGAATATTGTGTAGAAAGGGCTCAAATTAGGGAAAGTCGAGTCTTATTTTTTTATTTAGTATCCTGTAAGGAAGATGCTACAGCTTTGGAAATATAGGGAACACATAGTTTTTTTATATTTACATGCCTTTTTCTTAATTTTTTCAGTGGATATGAATCACGATTGACAAACCAACAAACACTGCAGGGATGTGCAAAAGTGCCAGTTGCACCAAAAATTTTACTATCTCGTGTAAAAGGAACAGCAAATATTATTGTCATTTAAAAACTTATATGTCGAAAACTGAACTTTTTTTTTTTGCTAAAATCTGTAAAAGTGAAAGCAGCAGAAAGGAACTGCGCCATAACACCAAGAAGGAAAATTAGCAACAAAGACTTCAGCAATACAACTGTTGCCTCCCGTCACTCTGGGAAGAGTTGTAAGGACATTTCCAAACTGTAGAAGTCCATCGTTCAACACAGATAAATATTCAAGAGTGTCAGTTTTCCTTAAATTATGCCAAAGTGTAACGCTCAAAGAAATGGTGATGGTTAGTAAGTTAAGATGTTGAAGTTAATAATTACAGGTCAGTTAGAAAAAGTCTCCATAAAATGTTACTTTATTAATATTGTGAGGATTAACGTTATAAATATTGTTTTGCACTATTGACCTAAAGTGCTCTTCAGAAACTTTGCACCAGATGGTGCCATTTAGCCATTTAATCACTGTAAGCGTTCGTCCTAGCTGACATTGCGTTTATTTTACAGCTAATTTTAAGACTCTTGAAGACCAAGGAGACGGAAACGTCTGGCTGTACATGTTTAAAGTGATTTGTTTTACTAGATTCAAATGTTGTATCTAGATGTACAAAAGTTGAAAAGGTCTTATTTTTTTATCTTCTTCTACTGTTGCCTAGCCCAGGACACCTTTGTAAATTATATTTTTAATCTTGATAAGTTTATTTTTCTCCTGGTGAAATAAAAGGTACTGGGAAAAAACTAAATATTTTTTGACACTTGCTAAAATCCTGTTTAGAGTTTATTAGACAACTCAACGCAACACAGTCAACACACAGACAGGTTGCAGTGCAGTCAAAACTACGACAGTGTATTACAGCCATTGTAGATAAAAAAAAAAAAGAATTGCTTTCCAAAAAAATTATTGGTTTAAACAGTGAGACAACTGGAAGAATGATGTGCATGAGACAAAATTGAGTATATAAAGAAACCAAGGATATTATTGTGATCTTTAAGAAATGTTGGTAGGTAGAGAGAGTGAGAACCTTTAAATTCCTTTGCCCAACATTTTGACCAATACTTCATCAAGAGGCCAAACGGAGGCTTCACCTCCTCAGAAAGCTAAAGGTAGCTCTCTTCTTTTACCACCTGCTCATCAACTTTCATCTAGAAAAGAGAGCCTCCTGGCCTGCAGCAGGTGGTGAGGGATTACCAACACACCAATACCTCTGCTCAAAGACATTTACACTCACCGACTACAAAAGAAGGTATTTTTAAGAGCCGCACCCACCCGGGGTATCATCTGTTCTTCTTGTTACCCTCTGAAAGGAGATACAGACTCATCCGCTACATCAGACAGAAGAGAAAAACTACTTTCTGCCCTCCAGCTGTCAGAGAGGTAACAAACACTCACACCCAAAAACATGCAACCAAGAGTGAAATAACTTCTATAATTAAAAAGTGCAGTGCAGAATTAAAAATAAAAGTTTTTCTTTTATTTGAGTTAAATCCAGTCACTGAAAGATTGTGTTCATTTGCCCTGATTGTGGTTTTTAGTTGCGACTTGCCACAAATGCCACAGGCTGCGCTTCCTCCCCGACTTAGCTTCCTGTAGCACAATGCATTTCACCAGCAAAAGAGTGAGGCACGCTGTTAAAACCACTCAAACACACTCCTGTATCTCTGAGGTACAAAAACAAGCCCACTAATAGGTTAGAACAAAGAAAGGTTTCAGATGGTGAAGGTCACCCAGATGTTCAACCTGCTGTGTGGGTGATCACATATAAATGTTGAAAAAATAAATAAATGCCCACAGTGAATGAAGATGTTTAAAAAAGAAAATATAAAAAGTTTTCTTCTTCTTGATCAACTGTTGGCACCAATAACAGAGTATTAGGGCCACGCTAAGAAAATAAGAAAAAAATTGCTAGAATAAAGTGACAGTATCTAAAATAGATATATTACAAGAATAAAGTCATAGTATTATGAGAATAAAGTCATAGTATTATGAGAATAAAGTCATAGTATTATGAGAATAAAGTCATATAAGAATCAATTTGTAGTTTCATGAGAATAAAGACAAAATTATGATTTTGTTCTGGCTTTATTCTCATAATATTATGATTTTATCCTCACATTATTTTGGCTTTATTCTGATCATTTTATGACTTTATTTTAAATGAGAAAGGATGTCCAAATAACAGCAGGAATGTAAACACTGGTTAAGCTTGTTGGCAGCAGTGATGGTTGTAGAGTCTAAGAGCTGCAGAGAGGAAGGATATGTGATAATGCAACTTTGTGGTTTTAGGATGCAACAGTCTGATGTGCATTCTTAAAAAAAACACAAAAAATCAAAACATAACCAAATAGTATCCGATTTGCATTAATGTGGCACACAAAAAAATGATTGTGCATAATATGCACCTGCTGAACAGATCTCGCTTCTGTTTAGTTAAAAAAAAAAAAAAGATTAAATGCTAATTAGTCAAATCATCTCCTGTTGCTTTATTTACACCACTGGAAGTATATTTTACAGATCTAAGACATTCCCCTGAAGAACAGAAGATGGTTCTCAGATGTAAGAACTGCAGCATGCAGAAAAGGCATAGTGAGGTCTTTGTGTCTCTGCAGCTCTTCATTTTGATGTAAATGTGGGGCAACCTTGCAGGTTTGAACTGGGGGAGGGGGCCGAATGAAATGCAACTGGAGGGATCTTTTGTGTGGCCTCCTGTAAATCCCAAATGTTCTCAAGAACTGAAAACAAAAACAGCGTGAGTGCTTGGGCCGGCCAACTTCGGTCGCCTCAAGTGACGTACCAACTGCCCCAACAAAGAAAACCCCACTGAAGGCATTCAGTCGGCTGTTTTCCAGAATATTCGTTCCTGCCCGTCCTGGCCAGGCATTTACAGTGTCAACACCATGAAGGGAGTCGCCCACCGGGAGTCCTGCAGCTGTATAAGGCCACCGTACATGGTGGCATGTGGCTGGGATTAGGAAATTTCACTGTGGATTAAAATCTTTCCAACTTCTCCATGGCCACCAGCTAAAAGGAAAGGAGTCCAAAGCTCTAGCGCAGATCCAAGGAGAACGCTGGGCCCAAAGTCTCACTGAGCAGGTACGTCCAAACTTTACTGAAACTCACAAGGAACTGCTGCTGCTGGACCAATAATGCAAGACAAGGTTTGTTGACCTGCTAATTGGTAAATTATCTTTTAATAATGACAGAAGCTTTGCAGAATAAACAGGTGTACTTAATATTTATGGTATTTGCATGTTTCAGAAATCATTGAGAAGAACAATATAAGTTTTTAGTAATAGGAAATAAAAAAAACAAGAAATGTTTCCAGTTCGACAATTATGACAAAACCATGGTGATATTACAGGTCATAAAAAATTATAAAGCAACTCTTCAGATAATAAATATATATAGCTATATTTTTTTATAGCATGCCAGCTTCATGCATGACCTTGAACCTTTTAAATGGTCCATTTGGTTTGAAATAGTACCAACCCACCATTCTGCTCAATAATGCATCACAATTACCCTGATGCACTTTTACAATGATGATAAAAATGTGCATGTTCATTTGCAGAGGTCTTGCTTTACTACTTAATCCAAAAGTATGAAACAATTCAGATATATTAATTTCAATTTGCTATCAATTTCTGAATTTTGAATTTAAATATAGCTTTTTCCTTGATTAAAAATATTAGAAATATACTCATATTAACATAGCTGTTATGGCCGATAGCTGACATTACACTTCCCCAACATCGAGAAGATGGAAATAAACATCATTTTTTAATACTTGTCCAGTATTAATTAAGGGACCCTAACATTAATTAACTAGAATTTCTGTAAACGTAATCTTCCAATGGTCTTTAGGGATCTCAGAAATGGTAGCAAAACTGTTTTTCACTTACAAGCTGGAAAATCTGTGAAAATTATCAATAACTTTTCTCATTGACCAGGCTAACTGCTATTAGCAACAGAAGCCAGTAATTCATATATGAGTCAGAGGTTAAAACTGGTGAAAAATTTCTGACTTTTCAAGTTTTAATTCCAATTTCTGAAGGTTTGCCAGTCGATTGTCTGACTTGGAATGTGAAAATGCCAAACTCTGAATAGAAATAGTAATTTATATACAAATTTTAGTACATAAATGATTATTTAAAAACACTGAAACACACCAAACAATGTTTTTCTACTTGGGTTGGGCAACCTAACATGCAAAAATGTGATTACAAAGTTTCAATAAAAGTTCTATTTACTACTTTTCAGAAGAATGTTTGCTTTGTTCAAGCTACGTTGAAGAAGCAAGTTCATTTGAGTTCCTTTACATCAAGACTAAACCTCTTCAGTTTCTTTGGAACCATAATAAATAGAACACCGACCAACATATTTGATGTGTATTGATGATTTTAACGATGGCACTTTACAAAAAGTAATGTCTACTAATGTTTTACACAATTGTTGACATGAATTTATGATGTTTGTGTCTAAATGATGTAAACACTTTGAACTGCCTTGTTGCTGAAATGCGCTATAAATATTAATTTGATAGATTGTCTAATTGATGTGGAGTGAACACCAGTAATTATTCTTTCTATGTCTAATATTACAATATTTGTTTTGTTATTGCATAGATATTGTTTGATTACTAATTCTGCATTTATTTCTACATTTCCAGGATGTTCCAGCTGCTTCCGGGTCACATCCAGCCGCCTGGACATCGAACCCGAAAAAGCCGTCTGGTCACCAAAGATGGGCACTGCAACATTGAGTTTGGCAACATTGAGTACAGTAACCACTTCGCCTTTGTGGTGGACTTCTGGACTACCTTCGTGGAAATCCGCTGGCGTTTTGTCCTCGTCCTGTTTGTGGCTACCTTCACTGGCAGCTGGTTCATGTTCAGCCTGTTGTGGTACTGGATCGCAAAGAGCAACGGGGACCTGACGGCGCAGAACCAAACAGAGGAGCACGTCCGTTGTATAGACAATGTTAACGGCCTCACAACGGCGTTCCTGTACTCACTAGAGACACAAACCACCATTGGTTATGGTGGCAGGGCGCTGACTGGGCACTGTGCTGGCACGGTGGCTCTGATTATCATCCAGTCTCTAGTTGGCGTCTTCATCAACTGCTTTATGTGTGGCATCATCCTGGCCAAGATCTCCTTACCCAAGAAAAGGGCAAAGACTGTCACCTTCAGCAACACAGCGGTCATTTGTTTGAAGAAAGGAAGTCTGTGTCTCCTCATCAGAGTGGCCAACCTTAGAAAAACCTTATTGATTGGAAGCCAGATTTATGGGAAGCTGCTGAGGACGACCACCACTCCAGATGGAGAGACCATCATCCTGGATCAGCTGGACGTTGACTTCATGGTTGATGCTGGCAAGGATAACTTATTCTTTGTTTGTCCGCTGACGCTCTACCACGTCATTAACAGATCGAGTCCATTCTACGAGCTGTCCGCCGACACTCTCCCCCTACAGGACTTTGAGTTGGTGGTGTTTTTAGACGGGACGGCAGAGTCCACCAGCTCATCATGCCAGGTACGAACATCATATGTCCCACAGGAGATCCAGTGGGGCTACAGCTTCCTCCCCATCATCTCCCGCACTAAAACAGGAAAGTATCGAGTGGATTTCTCAAACTTTTCCAAAAGTGTCCGAGTTACCACGCCGCACTGCGTCCACTGCTTTGAGACGGACGGAGACCAGAGAACCCCCAACAAGGAGAACCACATCAACCAGCTCAAGCTGGGCATCGACAACCTGGGCTTCCAGGTGATCGACATTCCTGACCCGGTAGATGTCACAAAAATGTGAAACGTACCTATTCTAGAGGAAAGGTGAAAGCTATAAGGGCCACTGAAGATACAAATAAAAGGAAGAGAAAATTTCCGCCAAAAAACTCAGAAATTTTGGAATTAATCTCAAAAATGTTCTAAAAGAAAAATATATGTGTTTGAAAAGTCAAAACATTTCAACTTTGAAATTTGTGGAGCTTCACAGGTCTAACATTTTTGTCTTTTCAAATTGAAACTTTTTTCTAGAAAATATCTGACATTAATCTCTAAATTTCCATGTATTTTCTAGCAAATATTTGACTTTTCAAACTCAGAAATTTATTTGTTTTTCTAGAATATTTCTGAGGTTTTTTTTTTGGCGGAAATCTACTCTTCCTTTTTCGTAATATGCCATCAAATAAAATCAAGGAATCGGCATGTAGGTCGACTTTTATGAAACCCACCGACACATTTACTCTGTTTCAAGTATTTCAAGCACTACAGACTACAGAAAGGTTTGGCTGTGAAAGAGAACGGTGAAAACTAACAACTGACGGTGAAAACTAACAACTGACTGGAATTAGACTGCTCATCACCTGGAGTTTTTATGGGGATAAACACCCCATTTTTTATGTACACCACGGTGTACATAAAAAAAATAAAACAGTGAATGGCACAGTGGGCATTTCTTGAGAAGATTACAGGCTGATCCTGTTCTAATGAGAAACAGTGGGCTCTAAAGGCTGTTATAGGGAATGTAGCAGAGAACAAACTCACTTTAAACACTAACCCTGTGGTGTTTCAGTCATGTTGGCAGGTCCTGTATCTCAACATAACGTGGAAACGGCAAAGGTAGCTATAAATGTCATAATTTAGTTATAGCCAGTCTAGATGTACAAGGTTGTAATATCTCAGGGAACGTAAGATTCTAAGATGGAATAAAACAATTTTTTCAGTGTAATTTGTCTTACTGCTCATTATTGCCATAGTAATCACCCATAACTACAAAATTAGAAACCCGGTTTGAGTGAACATTTCTCAGTGTAATTGCAGTGCAGATATAGGCTGGCAGAAGTCAAGGTAATGTCTTGTAAATAAAAGTTAACCAGTGGAAATTCGTTCGGGCAGCCAGACCATGCCGTGAGTATAAATCACAGTGGTGTTTTGACATTTTGAAGTTTGAAATGAACCTCAAGAAGACACACAGGCTGGCATCCTATGACATTGTGAGGAAGCAACTCTGTACAAGATATCTCTATACTCCAACACAGACAGAAACAAGTCACTTTTCTAGTACCCTATGAAAACACAAGTTATTTTGAAAATAATAACTTTAATTTGAGTTTTTTTTATGAGATTTTCCACATGGAGTTTGAAAGTGAGGGAGTCGATGATCAAAATGCCAAGATACTTATACATGTAAACCAGCTCTATTTCATTTTGTTTTGTGGTTTTATAGATCTGGAAAAATACATGAATTTATTTTTATTTGTATTAAGAACAACTTTCAAATTTATTAAAGAGTGTTGGATAGCAGCAAAGGCTTTCTGTAGTAGACCATGACAGTAGTCTGTGACAAATCCACTCATTAAAAATTCTTTCTACAAGCTCAAGCTTCAGGCTGGACATTTGACCATTTATCTTAGCATTATGGTAATTGAGGTAATTGTTTTAGTTTCCGACCACTGACCAGTCTTTTAGCCATCATTGAGAAACTCCCAAAATGGTTACGGGTGGAGCTTAGAGATTCCACCAGCTTAATGGCGGCCTGTTGTGTCATTTAAAACCCAACTTTGATGTTTGTTTGGGATTATTGTAAAAGTTCAGAAATTATATTGCACTTCTCTAGTGATACCACTAAAATTTGCACACAGTCAAATACTGAAAGTCACATTGGTAGCCAATTTGGGACTATAAACCTGTGAAGAATTTGAATTAATATGAGCTACAACAACATTTCATTTTCTTTTCAGCTCAATAAAGTATTTTTCAATTTGAATTGAATTTGGGATTAGGTGCCTTTCTCAGTAACATAGCAAGAGAAAGATGGAATCAACCCGACAACTTTCAGATTACGAGTTACCCCTCCTGTCCAGTTGGAACATTGTCTGTTTATGAGACGAAGTTCAAGAATCTGAAGGTTTTCCTCCTTTTTGTAATTCCACGCACTTTGTACTATTCCAGCAAAACAGCAATGTACAGTATTGCTAGTTGCTATCACCGCTATGCTTGACAGATGGTTCTTAAGTTTAAAAGCCTTACCTTGACTCCTCTGATTAATTGTCTTCTCTGACCAAAAACCAAAACATGTTTATTTCCAGAAAGTATTCAACTTCTTAGCACATGTCAAGACACCTGCAGTATGTCAGGTTTAAGCACTTCCAGGTCCTCCCTTGATCCAACTGTCTATCTGCTGAAATGTAGACATAGAATATATCAAAATATGACAACTGAATGGTATTATTTTTGGCATGAGCTATCTTGTTGGAAAACAAATCATAAATTAAAGAAATTTTCCACAAATATTTAATGAAAACTAAAGTTATTCTCATTTAAAAATATATATTAATTTAAACTGAGTTTGTGGTGCTTTTGTTTCAATATTTAAAAGAAAAACATTTTATCCAGTAGGTTATTTTTGTTTTTATAAAATAGTGATATTTTTTGCAATTTCTTCACAAGATATTATGTATAAGATTATGAATCTTTAGAAATAAGATTGTATTAATTAGTTATGTACTTCTGAATCCTCTTACGTGTTTGCTTTTTAAACATTTTTCTTCTCTTGACCAAATTGATATTTAAAAAAAGTCAGCTATCCTGCTGCCCCGACCACTAGAGAGCATCAGTCCACTTATTTGCTGTGTGATGATGTGTTTCACACAATTACTATAACAATGATTGTTTTTTTTTGTTTTGTTTTTTTCCCCTTTAAATCTGTCCCAGTTCTACCAGCAATCTTTCTTTCATAAGCTTATATGCTCAGAGAAAAAGCTCCAGCCATTAAATTCTTGAAGTTCACACTGTCGCACAATTTCAGGAATGGCAGCAGGTAGAAACCAACATCACCTGGTTAAATTCATCGTCCTCATCATGCAGACCGAGCGAACCAAAACACGTTGTTCTCTTAGAGACGGAGCCTCTTTGTTCATTAGGACCATCTTCTGTCAGCGAGGCTTCTGCTGCGGCTTTGATCCCATCTGGATTAGCGGGAGACAAGTTAACTGGGCCTCATCTGCATAACAATGAACAGTTGAGGCGGATTGGTAAATTTGAAGCTGATGAAACCAACAAAGGTGGATTTAAAAAGAAGAAAGTGCGTACTTCCAACTCAACTAATTAAAGGCTAGAGCTTCCCCTTTCTTAGTTACTGTTGCTATGGTGAACTGAAGGTTCTAGAACCGCGCTGGTAACGCCAAAAACCGTCAGCGGTCCTACGTCATTTTACCGTCTTGACGGTGATTTGATTGATTTAGGTGTCAAAAGACAACAATATTATTTAAGATTTGATCTAATTCCTAACTTTACATATGAAAAAAGAATATTAAAAACTAAATTTTAAAAAAAGTAGCAGCATGATGAATAGTGTAAAAGTTATTAGCTTCTTAGCCTTTAAGACTAGTCTTACTATGTAGCAGATAATTTCTTTTAAACGTTCTCCCATAAATACTGGCACCAACTCCTTCTCTTGCGTATGTCGTTTTCTGATACAAACAAGAAAATAATGGCAGCACTTGCTCCAAAATTACAGCGGGTTTAAAAATCTCGGTATTATGTATATGCAAGTAGTGAATAAGCTTTGCTAGCAAGAACAGGTTTCTGTAGCAGGGCATAGACTAGTAATACAGGAATATGAACTTCTTTTTTTCTTTCGTTCTTAAAAAGAATTTGCAAATGAAATAAATAAAGTAAGCTAAAAAACCTACTTTATTTCAATCATTCTTATCTGTTTTCTTATCTGAATTCAAAGTTTAAGTAAAAGCTGCAAAACATGCATGTAAAACAAGATGGTAGGTGCTGGACAGGCTGACATCAATCTGAACTGTAGAAGAACAAGGAGCATTAGTGAAAATAAATCCTGATTTTCCAAAAATAAAATCTTTATAAACAAATGTGATTAGTAAATAAAATCAATCCAAGCGGTCAAATACTTTTTATAGACCCTGTAGTCGTGTCTTGTTTTTAATTTGATGTGACCTCTTTCTCCTAGAAAAGTCATTTTTTCCCCATGTAAATAAAACACTCCAGTCATAAAACACAACTGAAAACAAAATAAATTCATCTCCAGTTCCAAATGTTTTTTATTCACATCTCCTGGATTCACATAGGAAGCAAATGATGAATATTTCACATGTAAACATGTTGTGTAAGGTCACTTGAATGTTGAAATGTTAGCAGAACTGTAGCAACAAGAGATATTCCCCCAGTGAGAGTCTTCTTCAACAATAAACCAGCCTGATGGTACTTAGCAGATAGCTTATGTAAAGCTCAGCATGCAGAAGAACTTTCCCAGCAGCCTCCTTTTAACCAGCAGAACCATTCAATGTGGGTCAGGAAGGAAATGGGAGTTTCAGAGCCTTTTCTTGAATTTTTCTTTTTATCTGAAACAAAACCCTCAGAAATAAGTGTTAATAAGATATCCTGTGGTTTTGGCACTGATAATGCAGTTCAAAAGGCAGTGACCAGCATACAAATCAAGACATTTTGTGGGAAAGTGATAGAATGGGTTTATTTACATGTCTGCAAAGAGAAAGTAGGAAAGTAACCGGTGTTCGCTTTGACCAATTATAGCCAACAACTGCACAGCCCTCCTGCATTTCAATTAACCATTTAGCTGTTAATTAATCTGTGCAGCTACTTTCATTTATAATCGATTCGTGATGTGTGATTAGACACTGATTCAATAACTGCAGTACCCAGTAAGAATAAAGATACCCTGTGGATTTTAAACTCTGCCTGAGCATAAATGTAGTTTAATATCCTTATCTGCATGTGGTAAAAAGAGATGATTAAAAGGAAAATGCTAACAGCTAATGTGGAGGACAGTAAATGATATTCTTTCAAAAGTGGAAATTAAATGTTCTTTGTTTTATTTTATTGTAGAAGCAAATTTCGATTGTTTAATATGACATCATATTGATCATATTAAGTTGGAGTTTATGCTAGTTTTTTGGAGCGAGTACCACCCACTTCAACTTGAAAACAAATATTCTGTCCAAACACAAAAAGTTCAAGTTTAAAATAACCATCCATTGAATGTAAATATTCAATCCTGAGGCGACTTCCTGGAGGTGAGAGAGAGAA